TTTAAAAATTGCTCATATGCTTTATCTAAGTCATCCTCTCTATAAACTGCTTCCCAGTTTTGTCCCATAAGATCCTCTTTTAGCCTCCTTACAGCATGTTCATTCGTCACCCTCCTATAGACAAAATTTGTTTTTGGCCTCTCTTTTCTATACTGGCCCTCATAAACTACAAATACTGGTAGATGATCACTGATATCATTTATAAGTAATCCACTTGTCATTTTGCTGTCAATAACATTGGTAAATATATTATCTATTAATGTTGCATGCTGAGTTGTTACTCTACTTGGTTTTGTAATTTTTGGGTATAGACTACATCTATATATTGTGTTAATAAACTCCTCAGTTCCTGAGTGCTTGTTTGGATTTAACAAATCTATATTAAAGTCACCGCATATGAACATTGATTTATGACTTAGTGTCAGGTAACCTGTCCAACAAAGCTGATTCTGATTTTGGTTCTGATTTTGCTTTTGTCTTTGTGTGTTTTCATTTTCATTTTATCAGGCTGTGCAGCCTAAACAATATCTGAATCTTTTGTCCCTGTAAAGCTGTTCTGTCTTTCCTGGAGTCTCACTGTACATCTCTCCTGTGCAGGATGGGCAGGTCCAAGACTCTGCTGACCTCCCTGACCCTGTCTGTGATGTTTGGGGTACTGGTGTGTGTCTCTCCACACCCCTCCATCTTCATTGTTATGCGTTTCTGTCTGGCGGCTGCTAGTGCGGGAGTCTACCTCACTCTGTACATCACTCGTGAGTATTTTAACACCTCAAAGATACACAGTATATCAGGCAGACATTCACATACACAGAAACTGATCTGATATTTTTTTGTTTTTCCTTATGTCCCTGTTATAGCTGTAGTATGTTTTTCCTCCCTAGTGAAGTAACTAACTGTACCTTTGTCTCTTTGCAGCAAATGCATCTGAAGTCTGTGATGGACAATTTATAACAATTAGCTTGAGGATTAACACCAAATAAAAAGAGCATAATTACAAGTAGAAGCCCTGTGATAGACTATCGACCTGTCCTGGGTGGATCCTGCCTCTCACCCAGTGTCAGCTGGGATTGAATCCAGCCCCCTCATGACCCTTGTTAGGTGAAGCAGTATAGATAATGGATCAATGGATGAATACTTACAACTAGAGCACAATTTTAAGCTGCAGGAATTTGTTAAAGTGATCTACTGTATATTATTGGTATGACACAGTCAGTCTGTGTATACTTAGTGTTTTTAAAACATTTGTGGTTTACTTACTCATGTAATCATTATGGATTATTAGAATGAATTTTGATCATAACGATGTATCAAAGCATTTTTATATACTTCTCAGACCACTTCTGTAGCAGAATCCACTTTCTACAGTGTATAGAGTCAGTGCTCATGCATTATCTTGGGTGTTTCTAGGATTTAGTTACCATTTGTAATCAAGAGCCAGCAGATTGGTTTGATGGCAATCAGGGCACAATGAAGAAAATATGTTTTACTCTTTGACATATTTTAGGTTGCCTGACTAATACGAGACCTGGAGAAACTAAAAACAAATAACAAAAATGGGAACTGTAACAGTCAGGATTTGTTAGGATTGATGTGTGTGTCTCTCAGGTGTGGAGCTGTGTGAGCCATCCCTGAGGCTGCTGGTGACCATGCTGGCTGGGCTCATGACTGTAGCTGGAGAGCTGCTGTTGCTGGCCGTTGCCCTGGGCTGCCAGACCTGGAGGGGCCTGCTGGGAGCTGGGGCTGCACCACTCACACTGTTTCTTAGTTATGGGTATGAGTGTATCTATATCTGTTTGCATGCACAGGGAAGAGAATGAAGGAACTTAGTCTTTAGATAATGTATTGATGCTGAAAGCTTTATTGGATAATATTGATTTCAGTCCCCCCACCCCCTGAGCCTTTGAGTTTATGTCAGAACACATTAAGGCCACTTTGTTTAAGGTCTTCAGTCCCTCTAAGGCCTCTGATACAAGGTAAGCCAGTTTCAAAATCAGACAGATTATAGAAAGACTACTGGCAGTGAATTACACATTTTAATAAGAATGGGAGAAAAGCTTGATTAAGAAATAAGGGATTCTTCTGCTTTTTCCATGCTGAAGCAGTAAATTTGAGTCACAACAACAAAATTGTAATGTATCTAAAAAAGTGTTGGGGCTAAGTAAAGGTTAACAAAGACCAAAGAGCAAGTCAGACTTAGGTTTATCTCTTTTCTGCAGCATTCCTGGGATATTTCCAGAGTCTCCTCGCTGGCTTCTTCTGTCAGAGCAATCAGCAGACATGAACTCGTTCAGTGAGAGGAGAAACTCCAACAGGGATGTGAGGGATGATGAGAGTTTCACAGGTGTGTGCACTGATGTGTTCAGATCCTCAATCTTGCTTTATTTTTAAATGAGCAACTGATCAGTGCCTAGCTGAATGGATCTTCACTTTATATCATCTGAATACCAAGAACGTGTACTAATGCTTAATTAGAAATCATGATTTATTAAAGGGAGAAGGCCTCGGGGCAGACCCGGGACACGTTGGAGAGACTATGTCTCCCTGCTGGCCTGGGAATGCCTTGGGGTCCCTCCTGAGGAGCTAGAAGAGGTGTGTGGGGAGAGGGAAGTCTGGGAGGTTCTGCTCAGACTACGGCCCCCGTGACCCAGTCTCGGATAAAGCGGATGAAGATGGATGGATGGATGGATTTATTAAAGACACTAAAGGCCAATATGCAGAAAAGTAGTTTAGTGGCAGCCCTTTCCATAAAATCAACTGCCACATTTGATGAAGTGAAAAGATACAGAAATTACCTCAAGGATTGTTTACACCTAAAGAAATATTTCATCAGTACATTCCATTCCATTTCAACTTTATTTATAAAGCACTAAAAACAACCGAGGTGGACCAAAGTGCTGTACAGTGTAAATAACAATATACATTAAAAATAAACACAACTTACAAGTACAGATAAAATCAACACCAATATAAGATATCAAAATGCCAACGAGAATAAATGAGTTTTCAAAGCGGACTTAAAAACAGGCAAAGAAGAGGCTTGTCTGATGGGCAGCGGTAAATCATTCCAGAAGTTGGGAGCAGCAGCCGCAAAGGCATGATCACCGCTAAGCTTGCGCTTTTCTGGGCACACTCAAAAGAAACTGATTAGCTGACCTCAAAGTACGTGTAGGTGTATGCCAGTGAAGCAAGTCAGATAAATACGAAGGTGCAAAGCCATGAAGGGATTTAAAAACAAATAATAAAATGTTATAGTGGATCCTAAAATAAACAGGTAACCAGTGCAAGTAAGCCAAAACTGGAGAAATGTGCTCATATTTCCCTATACCTGTTAAAAGACGCGCTGCAGCATCTTGGACCATCTGGAAGCGAGTGATAGAGGACTCGGTAATCCCCAGATACAATGCATTGCAGTAACCCAGTCAGGTGGTGATAAAAGCATGAATAAGTGTCTCAAAGTGCCATCTAGAAACCACTGATTTTACTTTGGCCAGTTGCCTTAGTTGAAAAAATAAAACTAGATTTTACGACAGCTGCAATTTGCCAATCAAATTTTAGATCAGGGTCCATCTTAACCCCCAGGTTCGAAATATTTTACTTGTTATATTGAGCTAAAAAGCCCAAGTCAATGGAGGGAGACCCAACAGTATCACCAAACACCATCACCTCAGTCTTCTCTTCGTTCAGCTTCAAAAAATTACAGTACAGTATCACATACAGTGGTAATCATTCAGTGTCACATATTGTCGACATAATGGGCCACTGTGATTGCTGTGTATTTGTGCACCTTACTGTATGTAATAGTATTATGTCTGTAGATGAGGCTCAGTTTACACACAGCTTTTCACAGGTAACGTGTACATCCCCTACACCACATCACGCTGCTTTGAGATACTACTACACCATGGAGCACCTTGGGCCTATCATAGCTCATGCTCTCTTTAAAAAAAAAACAAAGTAACAGAGAAGTCCTATGATCATAGTTTCTCTTGGTTTTATGCTTTTGTTTCACCATTCTCTAAAAAATATATACAGTATCATACATGCTGCAATACGATGGGGAGCAGGAGCAGCTGCCTAATGTCCTGTCACAGATTATTTTACTGTAAGTAAATATAATTATTATTGTGTGTAGACTTGGTGTCACATTAGCAACTCTCACCTGTTCAGCAGCTCATCTCATCAACATCCTCCTGATTTTTCCACTATTCCTAATTTTCTACTAAGTATTGAGGCTTTTCTTTTTGTTGTAATATTAGAGACAGCAATAGCTGACAGTGCCTCCATACAATCTTTTTGTTGTTTTGTTGTCAGCCATTTTACTGTTTTGTCAGTAATAAATGATTAATGTGTTGTTGCGGTACTCAGACTGGTGCGTGGTTGCCCCAGACTGTGATTGACAGCTTAGTACTCAGATATTTCTCAGATCTAGGTCAAGGTCAAAATTAAAGTGGTTATTCCTTTCTCGTGTCCACTATCATCTCCTTCGTCTTGTCCGTGTTGAAGCTGAGATTATTGTCCTTGCACCATAACACCAAACCCGCCACCTCCCTACTGTAGGCTGCTTCGTCCCTGCCAGTGATGCGACCTATCACTGCGGTGTCGTCCACGAACTTTAGGATGATGTTGTCTTTGTGGGAGGTGACACAGTCATGGGTGAACAGGGTGCAGAAGATGGGGCTGAGGACACATCCCTGTGGGGTGCCGATGTTCATGATAATGCTGGCTGAAGTCCTGTTGCCAATCCTT